GGCCTCAACAACTGGTCCATCATCAATCGCCGAGGCCAGTGATCAAGATGCCGATGCAGAGATGGAGGATGATGACAGCTTCGCCATGGTAAATGCATCTCCAGTCAAGCCTCAACCACCTGTCCAGCAACAATCAACTCTAGAAGTACCACGAACGCGGCCTACCCAACAGCAACAACAGCAGATGCAGCAACAACAACGAGCAGCCGCACAGTTTATGATGCCCAACGGAACTGGGAGCCCTATCAACCGAAACGCCATCAACATGAGTCGTTCGATGCCAAATATGAATATGGCGATGCAGAACGGAGCAATGCATGGTGCAGACATGGCCATGGCTATGCAAGGGGTACGCGGGGATGCTATGTTTTTGGAATAAAACAATGATTACAGTTGGGCGGCTAAAGTTGAGAATCACAATAGCTGATTGGCTAACAAAAAAATGTATATAAGTAATGACGAAGACTCAGAGCTAGATACAACCTGCTCATGATTCAATAATATGACCAAATTCGGAGAGCTCACTGCTTCTATTGCTTCGTTCTCGTGGTCTTTTGCCGTATATGGACATTTCTACCAATGATTTTAGCGGTGGCTGAGCTCGTCCAGAGAATGGATGGAATGCCTGACTGAAAATTTACCCCGCGATTGTGGCGCCCAAACCAATGGATTTCTTCTGCCCCTCCAATGCCCTGACTGTTTCCACTGACTCACCACATCCATCACAGCTTGACTCAATTTGCCGGCAGCAGAGACTTAAATCAGGAACTGTCGCCTGATTTGGAGATCTGCCATTTCAATTATTCCCACCGCGAAACGAGACGCAATCATGGCTGACGCTGCTGCCCCCCCGACCGAGCAGGTCTCCAACCTGCACCTCGATGAGGTAACTGGTGAGAAGGTCTCCAAGACCGAGTTGAAGAAGCGCCAGAAGGCGCGCCAGAAGGAGGAGGAAAAGAAGAAGAAGGCTGCTGAGCGCGGCCCTGCTCCCGCTCCCAAGAAGGCTGCTGGTGGTGCTGAGGCTGCCGAGAAGGACCTCACTCCCAACCAGTACTTCGAGATTCGATCGAGGACCATCAACAAGCTCCGCGAGACCAAGAGCCCCAACCCTTACCCTCACAAGTTCAATGTCACATACGACCTGCGAAACTTTGTTAAGGAATTCGGACACCTCAAGTCTGGCGAGCATGCCAAGGACAAGATCATCCAGATTGGTGCCCGTGTCCACGGAAAGCGAGCATCTGGCTCCAAACTTCTTTTCTACGATGTCCGAACAGAGGGCGTCAAGGTCCAGATTATGTGCCAAGCCCAAGAGGTGCGAGAGGGAGCTCCCGCGTTTGATGCTCAGCACGAGCACCTCCGCCGAGGTGATATCATTGGTGTTATTGGCTACCCCGGCCGGTAGGTTACGAATTGTCCTAGAACCGTAACATATACTAATTAACTGTAGAACTGCCCCTAAGACCAAGCTTGAGAAGGGAGAGGAGGGTGAGCTGTCCATCTTCGCGACTGAGGTCATCCTCCTGACTCCTTGTCTCCACGCCCTTCCTGATGACCACTACGGCTTCAAGGATCTCGAGCAGAGATACCGCAAGCGATATCTCGATCTTATCTGCAACGAGAAGGCCCGCAATGTTTTCATTACTCGATCCAAGATGATCACCTGGATCCGCCGATACTTTGACGAGCGTGACTTCGTCGAGGTTGAGACCCCCATGATGAACCAGATTGCTGGCGGTGCCACTGCTAAGCCCTTCACTACTCACCATAACGAGTACGACATGCAGATGTTCATGCGTGTCGCTCCTGAGCTGTACCTCAAGATGCTTGTTGTTGGTGGCCTTAACCGCGTGTACGAGATTGGACGTCAATTCCGAAACGAGGGTGCTGATCTCACCCACAACCCCGAATTCACTACCATTGAGTTCTATCAGGCCTACGCCGATGTCAACGACCTGATGGACATCACTGAGGACATGGTTTCTGGCCTTGTCAAGTACCTGACCGGTGGCTACAAGACCACCTTCCACACCCAGACCGGCGAGAAGTACGAGGTCAACTGGGAAAAGCCCTGGCCCCGATATGAGATGATTCCCACCCTGGAGGAGGCTACCGGAGAGAAGTTCCCTCCCGGTGATCAGCTCCACACACAAGAAACCAACGAGTTCCTCAAGAAGATCCTCAAGAAGATGAACCTGGAGTGCACACCTCCTCTCACCAACGCCCGCATGATTGACAAGCTGGTTGGTGAGTTCATCGAGGAGAAGTGTGTTAACCCCTCTTTCATCACTGGTCACCCTCAAGTCATGAGCCCCCTTGCCAAGTACCACCGTGAGATTCCCGGTCTGTGCGAGCGTTTCGAGGCCTTTGTTTGCAAGAAGGAGATCGCCAATGCCTACACTGAGTTGAACGATCCCTTTGACCAGCGTCTGCGTTTTGAGGAGCAGGCTCGTCAGAAGGACCAGGGAGATGATGAGGCTCAGCTCATTGACGAGAACTTCTGTACCTCGCTTGAATATGGTCTGCCTCCTACTGGTGGTTGGGGTATGGGTATCGACCGAATGGTCATGTTCTTGACTGACAACTACACCATTCGTGAGGTTCTCGCTTTCCCCTTCATGAAGGATGATAAGCTGGAGCAGAAGAAGCTTGCAGCCGAGGTTGCTGGTATTGAGCCCATGCCTGAGGAGGGCATTGGTAAGCCTGACCACTCCTGAAACCGAGGACAAATTACTGACTTGATTGGGTAGCTCACAAGTAAAATGGGAAAATGGGATTTACTGGGTTAACTGATAAGTTGGAATGCATGATTTTACGCTGTGACAACGACATAAGAATGGTCAGATTTCCAGTCTGATGGAATTAGAAAGAAAATAAAATGTTTTTATAAACCATGTTAATGATTCTTCTAAGAGTCGAGTGTGTCCAAGATGTTCATTATATGTGTCATTTAGCCAGTCTACCAGCCTTTCGTTTCGTTATTCTATTGATGCTATTGGGTACCATATTGTACAAGAATAATATACATGCTGTTCTTCAGTATCTTACAACGCCACCAACTCTTTATTTGGCAGCAGCCTGCTTCAATCGCTGCTCGAGGAGACGAAGAGTGGGCTTGGGAATATGTAGTCTGTGGGCCAAAACCAGAGCCATGGTCAACACACCAAGAGCACCCGCCTGGTGAGCTGCGGCGAGGGAAATTGGCACCATATAGATGAGAGTGCTGATGCCGAGGGCAACCTGCAAAGATACAACGTGGAAAAGGCCATCGGCGCCCTTCTTGATGTTGGCGGGGAGGATAGCCTTAACACGTCTCGTGCGCGCGTAGACGAAGAGCGAGAGAATGGAGCAGAAGGTAGTCACAGCAAGAATTCGGTGGTTCATCTGAACAGTGCTGGGGTTCTCGAGCATGTTGCGCCACCAGAGATCAGACTGGTCCTCCTTACGAGAGTAGAACTTGTCCCAGAGTTCCTGCTTAGGAGGGAAGAGACCAAGACCCATCTTAGGGAATTCGTTATAGATCAGACCAGCATCGAGACCAGCAACAAGACCACCAGACATGGCAGTAATAAAGGTCAGAGTAGCAAGGGCGAAGACAACGCGGCGCATAGTGCGGAGACCGGGCTGGCTCATAGCACCGATCTGATTCATGGCTGCTTCGGGGTTCGCGAGCCAGCGACGAGTTCGGAGAACAGTCAAAGCAGAGAGAAGCATCCAGGAGTAGCAGACAAAGGCGGTACCAAGGTGAGTGGTGAGGCGGTACTGAGAGACCCGGGGGTGAGAACCAGGAGCAAACAGGTCGTCCTTGAGACCAGACTTGACCATCCACCAGCCAATGATACCTTGGAAACCAATCAATGCAGATATTCCAGCAAGATTCAAGGCCATTTTAGGTGTAACTTTGCGGCGGGCGACGAGGTAGGCGGTAGGAATGACAAAGGTCAGGCCAATGAAGCGACCCCAGACACGGTGAAACCATTCCATAAAGTAGATTTTCTTGAATTCTCCGAGGTCCATATGAGGGTTGAGAAGTTTGAACTCGGGCGACGCACGGTACTTTTCGAACTCGGACTCCCAATCTTCTTTGGACATGGGAGGAAGCGAACCGGTGACAGGTCTCCATTCAGTGATACTCAAGCTGTTCTGGCGTTAGCTGGCTATTCAATTGGTCTGCAGCAAGCAAAGAGAAGCATACCCAGACTCGGTCAAACGTGTTAGACCACCAAAGACGACAATACCAAAAACACTAACAGCGCTGCCGAGGAGCCAGTAGCCCACACCTTTCGGGTTGGACTCAGGCCATGCTTTCTTGGTAGCTTGAGAGACAGAGGGAGATGTGCGGGCAGAGACCTGCTCGGCGATAGTTCCAATTGGTTTGTTGATGGCGGAATCAGCATAGGATCGTGATCGGACAGCGCTGAGAACCCGCGAGGGCATGCTCCGGGGAGCACTTCGAAGGCATTGGTTGCAGACAAAGAACTTTGACGGTCCAGACGCTGTGGTCGTGGCCTGGAATAGTAACCTCCGGAGCCCGGGGGCAAAGGAAGACGCCATGATCGAAGCCAATGTTCAGAGGTCGGACGAGCAAGATTGGGAGGAGTCGAATTGGACGACGAAGAAGACGAGGAAGAAGTGGCTCACTTATAGATCATACGAGACCTTGGCCATAAATTCGACATCCGATGTGACTCGGTATTCGGTGCTAAACCTGGTCCGTAGTGGAAAGGCCCCTGTGGTCTTCAGTGGGATCGACCCCACTAGAATCAGCAATTTACAACGTCTCTGATAGGCTTATCTTACACGCCATTTACACTCCATTACACGCATTGGTACGTATAGTGCCCCGCCAAGGGTCATCTCACCGCCAAACTTTTTATACGGCAGAAAAGCTGGAAAAAAGTGTTGCTCTGAAAGCTGTGTCGACGCCATTCAACAATTTCACGCCGCTCCGCGCAACGCCCATACCTCGATATATTGGATACCAGCACTTGGCAGTAACAATGGGCGGAAGACAGGCTCACGGGCGACCCCTTATTGCAGCCCCTAAAGCTAAGGCCGGCAACAAGAAGTCCAAGGCGAGATCACAGAAGAATGCACTCGATGCATTCGGTATCGCACAGGAGAACTTTGCGCCGAAACAGAAGCGAACGCCTCGAGCACGAGAATTAGACGCTGAAATCGAGCGAAAGCATGGCCGCGAAGAAGAAGAGGACGACGAGGACGAGGAAGAGGAAAAGCCACAGAAAAAAAAGGTCAAGAGGCCTAGTCGACCAATAGACGACGATGCCGATGATGGAAGCGATAGTGAAGGGAACGAATGGCGACTGGGAGGTTTAAGAGATGACGATGAGGATTCGGAGATTGAGAGTGACGATGCGTTTGGCGACAGTGATGAAGACAAGTTTGAGGGTTACACGTTCCGAGGCAGCAAGACTACACAGCGTGAGGTAAGTGTGTTCTGTTCTCCAACAGCTGATCCTATTCTAACACCCAAAAGGACGATGACTCAGAAGACGATTCCCAAGACGACGAGGGTGAAACGCTCGGCGCAGATGCTATCGACTTAGCAACAGTTCTGGACCAATTCGAGGAGTCAGACGACGAACCCGTGCAGAAAGATCACTCCGGATCGTCAGAGTCTGACGACGATGCATCCGACGAATCGGAAGAAGACGACGACAGTGACGATGACGAGAGTGACGATGAGGAAGCCAGCCCGGAGAAGCTCGAGGCTCTTCAAGGCATGATCAAGGGATATGGAGGTCAAAAGGACTATGAAAACGACAAGCCCAAGTCAAAAGCCAAGATCAGTCTTGCTGATCTAGGAATGACGGGCATCAACGACGTCAACGTGAAGAAATCTATGAAGCTGATGAGTAAAGAGGAGAAGGAGAAGCGTCCCGGTGCTTCCAAGAAGCTGGATGTGCCTTTGGCGAGAAGACAGCAGGACCAACTTGATCGGAGTGCGGCCTATGAAAAGACCAACGAAACCCTGGATCGATGGAACGACACCGTTAAGCAAAATCGAAGAGCTGAGCATCTTATGTTTCCTCTGCCTCAGAACTCAGCGACTGCCGGTCTTGATACTACCGAGATACAGCCTCTCAATGTGTCAAAACCGAGCAACGAGCTCGAATCTGCCATCATGTCCATCATGGAGCAGAGCGGTCTCACAATGGAAAAGCCACAAAAGCCAAAGGAGAAGGACTATGATGAAGAGGGCAATGAGCTCACCCGTAAGGAAGCTCTAGCACGCAAGCGTATGGAACGTGAGCTCAACTCTCGAGAGGCCAAGCGAGCCAAGCGCATCAAGAAGATCAAGAGCAAGGCATATCACCGCGTGCACAGAAAGCAGCGAGAACGCGATGAAATGGCTACAAAGGAGGCTATGGAAGAGGCTGGCGAGATTGACTCTGAGGAGGAGCGTGAAGCGCAAGACCGCCGACGAGCGCTTGAGCGTGTTGGCCAGCGACACAAGGAGAGCAAGTGGGCCAAGATCGGTTCCAAGACAAAGCGAGCCGTATGGGACGATGATTTCCGCGCTGGTCTCACTGAGATGGCGCGCAAGGACGAGGAGCTTCGAAGGAGAAAGGAAGGTCGTGCTGGTGGCTCTGACGATTCGTCTGAATCAGACAGTGACTCCGACGGGGGCGATGCTTCTCTGCGTCGACAGCTGGCGGCTCTTGAGGAAGAGGAGGATGAACCTCAGAAGGGTCTAATGGGCATGAAGTTCATGCAAAAGGCCGAGGCCGCTAAGAAGGAGGCGAACGACGCTCTCATCAATCAGATCCGACGAGAGCTTGATGGCGAGGAGTTTGATGGTTCTGCTGATGAGCTGGAAGAAGTGGGCCGACGCCAATATGGCGCCGCAGATGGTCAGCCGTTCAAACCTGCTCTTGAGAAGTCTACCAAGGTGTCTAAGAAGCGCAAATCCGAGGATGCTGATGATGACGAGGACGACGATGTCATAATAACCACCAACGGTGCTGGTATCAACCCTGCTATTCCCAACATTACATCCCTCTCCGAACCCGCCTCTTCAGGAACCACAGGTGCATGGTCCCGCGGCGAGACACGCCGCAAGAAGAAGGGCCAATCTAGCACAAACATTGGTGATCTCGACCTCACATCCAACGTCCTTGTGGCCTCCAAGCCTAGCAAGTCCAAATCCAAGTCAAAAACACAAACTGCTGAGGATGCTTCAGATGTCGAATCCGAGACAGACCTGCATCTACCTATGGCGATTCGTGATCAAGAAATGGTTGCTCGTGCCTTTGCCGGTGAGGACGTGGTCGGTGCCTTTGAAGCTGAAAAGACAGCTATCGCTGAGGATGAGGATGACAAGGTCGTCGATAACACAATTCCCGGTTGGGGATCATGGGTAGGTGACGGCGTGAGCGCAAAGGAGAAGAAGCGTCACCAGGGCCGTTTCTTAACAAAGGTTGATGGTATCAAGAAGAAGGATCGTAAAGATGCCAAGCTGGACAAGGTCATTATCAACGAGAAGCGCATCAAGAAGGTAAACAATCTCACTTTCACTCATCTATACAACATGCTAACAACTTCTAGAACGACCGTTATCTCGCATCTCAGCTCCCTCACCCCTTCGAGTCCCGTCAGCAGTACGAGCGCTCGCTGCGCCTACCTGTTGGACCAGAGTGGCAGACAAAGGAGACTTTCCAAGACAGCACCAAGCCTCGTGTGCTTATGAAACAGGGCATTATTGCGCCCATGTCCAAACCTACTATTTAGAATTTTCGATGCATACTCTGACTGACATACATACATTGGCGGTTTGAGAATAAAAAGCTAAAAAGCGTCTTTCATCTATATCCTCTGAAATTGAGGCTGTGTTCTGTGTGATGTCGGATAGCTTGAGGTGAAGCTTTTGAGGTGTATAGTAACATTCCTGGCATCTGGTACAGATATGTGACGACAGCCGATTGCGCCAACTCATTTAATGAGTCGCACACCACATCCACGTCAACTTATCTCACCTAACGAGACTTTGTAGTGCGATGTTAATTTTATGTTCATGTTCATCTTCCTTGTCACTCGGCACTCGTGGATTAGCATCCAGCTCACGACTTCGTTTCCCCGCTGGCAGGTAACTCTCACAAAAATCACTTGATCATGGTGTTTCAAAGACTGGGGGCATTGTTGCGACTCATTCACCGGCGAGTGTCAAAGAACAGATCAATCTGCGAAAATATTGATTAACTACCCGATCAACCTTTACGTGCCTGAATTCCATCTCTGACCTCGCAGTCCAATGATATAAGCAAGAAAAATCCAATAAGCTTAGAGTCCGGCAAGGCCATTTCCTATTCCTCATTTCTTTTGACACAATGAAATTTCGCGAATGCGACTGAACCTCCCTATTCCTCTTCCTGTTTCATTCCAGAGTTTGATGGAGTGTCTGGGACTCCTGTGAAGCAGTCCTATCCAGCGGACTGCAACCGCTTAGTAATACAAATATGAAATTTGACTCGATTATCCGACTCTCTTTTGACAGGTCGTTGAAGCCACAGTTTTCGATGGCATTCCTGGCTATCCAAAGCAAGCTTCTTGATGGGACAAGTCACTTGTTGGTAGTCATAATATGTTTAAAAAATTAGTTGATTGATGATGATTCAGACATCAGGGGAATTCTGGCACTTAGTTGCCAGGGTCCAAGACATCGGATGGAGTGGCATAGAAAGCCAATGCGATGATAATATAGAGACCCATAAGCATAGCACCCTCCAGGTAGTTGGATTTGCCATCCTGGACAATATACGTAACAACGAGGACAGAGACTCCAAAGGCAACAGTTTGGACTGGGAAATTTGTCAGTCGATATTACACGGAACGGAAAGGGATCAAACTCACAAGTCTCGAAGTGAAGAGTCATGGGGGCACCAATGATCCAGCCAACGATGACGAGGAAGGGCGTAACCAGGAGGGCAATCTGGATGGAGGAACCAACCGCAACACCCATGGCGAGATCCATCTTATCACGGAGGGCGACGACAACAGCAGTGACGTGCTCAGCAGCATTACCAACAATGGGAATCAAGATCAGACCAATGAATCCTCGGCTAATTCCGGAGGTCGTGACAAGATCATCAATGCTGTCAACGAGGTAATCTGCGCAGACAGTGACGAGAACTGTAGTGACACAGAGGACGGCAATAGCGGCAATAGGTCCAATAGTAGGCTCCTCTGGCTCAACCTCCTCACCGTCCTCGTTCTGGTTCTCGGCGTCGAAAAGGTTGCTGTGTGTTCGGAGCTGGAAGACGAGATATAGGACGTAGAGTAGGAGAAGAATGATGGCAGTGCCACGAGAGAGTGTGAGGATGCTCTGGGCCTTCTCCTTGGAACCGCTCTGGTCAAGAACTGCGTAGAGCTATAAAAGTTAGTCGAGCTTTTGAGCAGGGTTCAATTCCAACATACAGCAGCGGGAATAACGAGCGAGGCTGAAGACAGTGTCATGAGGGAGCAAGTTGTCTGTGCAGTGGCTGAAGAGAAGGACTGCTCTGTGCCATTGCCTGACTGGCCCCGATGAACGAGACCACCGAATAAGAAGCACATTCCCATGACCAGGAGAAGGTTAGAAAGAATGCTACCAAGCATAGAAGCCTGGACGAGCTCAATTTCGTTTCGCTGGAGAGCAACAATGCTGACCTAAAGTACGATTAGTCGTGAGCATGAAGTGAAGCTTGGGGCATCATACAATAAGTTCCACGGCATTTCCGAAGGTAGCATTCAGGAGTCCACCAAGGGTCTCGCCAAGCTTCATCGAGAACTCTTCTGTCGCAAACGACAGAACGGCGGCGAGCGGGATGATAGCGAAGAAGTTGATGGTGAAAACGGCAGTGGAGCCCCAGCCCATCTTACCAGCGACAATACCGAGAGGCACCATAACCAGGAGAAAGTTGACATAGTCTAAGAAACAGTCAGTTGTGTAGGCAACCGTACCGCGAGAAGCGCAAACATACTGCTGAGAAGGGTGACCTTGGCGATGTGCCAGGAGTAAGCCAGACTCCTTACGGCAATGTTGCTGTTATCGATACCCGGTGTATGCTTCGAGTCGAAGAGGAACGTCATGGTGCTCGAGTCTCGGCTGAGACTGATGTGGCCGTTGCCATTGCTATGACCGGAGGTGTCATTGGGAGCCGACGAGGCACCGCCATTGAGGAGCGGGCTATTCTCGTCGGCTGTATGGTTGCGAGGTTTGGCAGACATTGATCGTCTGATCTGAAGGTTGAAAGATGGAAGAGCTGTTGGTGGCGATCAAGGCACCGACATGGTCAGCGGACGAGTCTTTGATATAATAAAAAAGCAGTGAGGAAGTATCAAAAGGCGGAGTAGACGGTTGTTAAAAGCAATAAGCGACGGAATACAACGAAGTCCTCAAAAGGGAAAGTCTCAAGAAGGTTGGGGTAGGCTGCATGGTAGGCTGACAATGGGACCTGGGCCTGTAGAGCCTAGATCGCTTGGCCTTGTCTTCATGGGGCGGATGCTTTGAGCTTGTTTGTTCTTGACATGGAAAGGAGCGGATCCTGCTGCGCCATCCTTGATGCCCATGCACAGAGGCAAAGATGCAAAGTGAAGATCATGTCTGAAGCTGGCGCGTAGATAGAATGGCGATCACGGCAGTGCACTTAGGTCCAACTAACGGCGCTTGCCAAGAGAGGGAGACAGTAATGACAGACTTGGAGATGGAGGGAAGATACAGGAACGGGGGGGGCTCGAGCTGACGGGAGTAAAGCCCGTGTCAGGCATTTATCGCGTTGCGAATAAACTCACTCTTTCACTCGATATCTTGTACCAGGTGGCAAGGCCCGTAGCCGTCTCCGTGTCCAAAGGAGTAGGAACCAGAAAATTGAAGTTGACGTAGAAGTGAGGTTGAAAGAAGGATAAAACGATGTGGGCACGGAGTGGTAGAGGGCAACAACACGTAGGGATAGGGATATAATATCGTGAGTGGCGGCGGCGCCTTTGAGACCCCCGTGTGAAAGAAGCTAATCTTGCACTTTGTCTCGTTCTGGCTGGTGTGTGGCACTCTGTGCTCAGATGCAGGGATGGTGACGGTGATGAGATGGAGATGGAGATGGAGCAGGTTTAGGAAAGATGCGTCGATGAGGATATGGTTCTGATACCAGGGTGTTAAGTGGTTTACTTTGTGAGTTGCAGAGACAGGTAGATAGGCTTTGAGGAAACCGTGGTTGCTTAAGTGATGCTTCATGATTTAGGAGAGCAAAAAGAAAAGGCTAAATACAGATGCAAATGCAGCTGCAGATAGACATTTTACTTACAAACCATGATTGCGTCAAGCTTTCGCACAGCCAATTGATGGAATTGATTGATGCGTGTGTATGAGGTTTAAAGGTTGAACGACCACAGGATTGATTGAGTCGGTCTGGAATGAGCGGAACAGAACGAAACGAAACGGGTAACGAAGCGTATGACGATCCAATCCAACGACAATGGTTGAATAGAAGCAGGTAGACAGGCAATGAGTGTGTTGTCTGTATGTCTCTCTTCAATTGTGTTTTCTTTCACCCCCGCTCAATGGAATGTGTACGTTAGACAGTCCAAAGGAGGGAAGAATAGCGTCGGTGGGTAAAGAGAAGCGGGCGTACATAAACTACACAGCCCTAGAGATCTCCAACAATTAGTTAGACGACGGGTGATGATGCTGTTGATGATGATAGACTTGTGGGAGGTGGTGGTTGTGTTGCAGGAACGAAGAGAAACAACCCGCGTTGCCCCAGGAGGCCTCCTTCCTTGGTTATGGACTGGTCTGGTTTGGTTACGCAAGGGAAAAAGCTTAGCTTGGCCCTGGAAGCAGCAGCCGAGCGAGTTGACGTAGGGCATGGGTTTCCCAAGGCCCAAGCGGATCGGCAGGGTTACATCAGCCAATCCCATCCGGCCACTGACAAAAGAAGCTGGCCATCAACTGCTGAGCTACCTGGGCTACCCACTGACTGAGCTGCTAAGCTACCCACTTTTCAGGGTGAACTCCAGGTTGTCCTGTCACTGATGCTCAATTATTCGGCGTGACGCTCTAAGCTCCATCGAGAAACTGCCGATTGCAGCTATCGACGCAGCGGCCCAAGAAACAAGTTAGATTAACTGGTGGCTGAGCAAAAAAGCTTAAAACTTTGAATGTGCAAGCGCTTTTTTCCTTCTGTGTCTTTGTCTTTTGTCTCTCTGCCATTGTAAATCTCGTCAAATAAGGGAATTGTCGAAATTAACGCATCTTCCAAAGTAATCTAAAGTCGTCAATAGCCGTACGCCTCGCAATTCTCCTTCTTCTTGGCATCTTTGCACCCCTGATTTTTTGCGGACAGATATCGTATAACTGCGGATATGCAAGATACATCATTATAAGTGGCTACGGAGTATATGTGCTATCAAACGTCATGTAACTTGCGTCGGAGTCCATCGGCTTACGACATAATAGACTCCGCCATAATTCTCTGCTTTTTTGTTTCGCCTTGCGCAACCTGCTCGGTCCTGTCCACTCTTGTCCGACGTTGCCGTGTCGCTGGGATTTACGCCAATGGACAACTCGTCATATGTAACTTCAAGTTAAGCAAGAAAACCCGTTACACCGATTCTTAACTTTTATGTCTTGTCTCATGTAGTGTTCTCTCTTCGGTGTGCAGACTAGGTACCTTGGTCAGAAAACAGTGGCCAGTTAGCCAGTTTATCCTCTCGAACACATTTCAAAAGAAACGTTTGTTGCACTCACTGTTTCAGGC